TGCGTTGATGTGATGGAGTTTGTTGTTCATTGTTGTTGTAATAATGCGTCTACATACAAACGCATTTCAATAAATCCTAAGTACTACCAACATATGAGTAACTTTTATTGTTTCATTAAACTAGACACGCGAGTTTGTTTGTTGACTACGGATTATGCGGTAGTTGTTTATATGCAAAGTACGATTAAAATATTAGCTTTTTGATAATTGTAGGTAAATCATAGACAATTTTCAATTCAATTCCGTTCACCTGATTACGTGACTGCTGAGATAGATAAAAATGAATAAACCATACCTACATCGTGCTCTGCAAGACGTGTAAAAGTCCGGACTGTATCATGATTTATCCAGACGACTGGCAACAGTAACAAGATAATAACTAAGTCAGAGAGTTGGAAATACTCGAATGACTAGCACGTGTTTATGTTGAAAGAGTAATTTTGTGAACAGAAGCAGAAGTTTGTAACACAGAACATAATTATTTTAAAGACGGTTTGTAAGTAGGTGACTTTGTGATGATCTCTCTGTATGCGTAGGTTCTTAATATATTTCTTACTAGCTACTTCCGCGCAGTTTCACACGCTCTGCTCAGCTCCTATTGGTCGTAGCGTGATGTTTTGTCACGGAGAACCTAACGGGTAACCGGGGCTCCGGCTCGACGTGCAGGAGAAGGAACGGGGTGGTATTTAGTCAGTAAGAGTCTGACACTCCCTCCCGCCTCACCCAGGCGGGAGCAGCCATTCGATGATTTTCCCCCCTTAAAAAAAAATGTGTGATGTTTCATAGCCTATAGTCATTCTCGATAAATGCGCTATCCAACACAAAATGATTCTAGTATCAAGTCTACTAGTATCAAATAGTTTAGTGCAGATAAGTTTGACGAAGTATACACGTGTAGGTATACGAGTAACATAGAGAAGTAATATTAATATTCCAACTGGTGGGATTATATAATGGGGATGATGACAGGGTATGAAAATTAAAAATATAATTAGTCCGTAACTTAGGTAATAAAAAAATATTAGACACGTATTTTTTTATTTTGTTGTATAATAAAACAATACTTAGATAAAACGAATCAAAGTTTAGGAGTGGGGGCTAAAACGTCATTTCTTAGTATAAAATGTACTGAGAAGTGACGTCACGCGACATTTCAAATCAATATATCTTCGAAACTATTCGTTTCCGTAAGAAAATAAAAAATACGTGTCTAATGTTTTTAAATAATCTACCAGACGGACATTAAAATAAAAATTAGTCGTCTACCCTATTATAGATTATAGGTAAATATTCCAAAATTACTTTGAAAAGTTTGAAATAACAATCAACAATTATCGATTGGTTTGTAGATATTAGTAGGTAGGTAGGTACATGTTACACAATGCGTGAAATTCTTCTGCTTCTGGTGACTGGGTAAGGGTTTATCATTATCTCCATAGCTGGCTAGATATTACAGTTTAATATTTAGTGGGTGATGTGACATAATGAATTTTCTATTATGTCTTATACTGGCATTAAAAATGGTTAACTTAGCTTTATAACACCAGAGCAACTTTATACCTAAACTATTTACTCTGGAGGGTAATTGGGCCTCCGGTAACCTCACTCACACGACGAAACACTACGCAAGCGTTGCTTCACGTCGGTTTTCTGTGAGGCCGTGGTACGTGTATACTCCGGTCGAGCCGGCCCATTCGTGTCGAAGCATGGCTCTCCCACAATTAAAACTCGTGTTGTTAATATAAATAAAAGTTATTTACTATTGGCACACTAGGTTTTTTTGCGTTCTTGAATATTTTATGTAATGTTTTAATCTATTGGGAGTGTCATGTACCTATACTGAAACAATAAGGAATAAGGTTTATTCTAACATTCAAATGTATACACTTGTTAGCTTATGAAAATAGTGAAGAATATTATCATAAACAATTATGTACATATAGTACCTATATCAGTAACATTATAAATAATGTCTTTTATAATCCTGGTGTGTGCATAATAAATGTGGTCTAAAGGACCACAACTTGATACACAGGATTATCTAACATTGTTTTTATATTTATATTATTTGTCACAGATCACCACCGGACACAAACGCAGTATTTATTTTGACCAAGACATTCTGGCCTCACTACCACTACCTAGTGCCATATGACTACAAATCTGGAGAATATGGAACTTATGGTAAGTTTTCATATATTATGAGGTAAACGTAGCAAGGACCAACCTCACGCTGGACGGACTGCCAATATCGTCAGTCGCGGGGACACATCCCATTCTATCTTGTACTGGGTGGGTACCTATATTGAATTTTTTTATTAATATCCTTTTGAGACCAGTATTTAACTATCAGTCATATTTGAAATGTAATTCGATTTTAACAATGTAATTTGTAGTATTATTATTTGAAGTATTACGTTCTACTATCTACTTGTGTTATTGGTTTTTAAACTTTAGTTCACACACAATGTAAGTGGCTTTTGCAATAAATAAATGAAATAAAATCTAATGGTAATCAAATATAGGGAAGGACGTAGTCTCGATAAATTGATGACATATGGGCTATTTATATAGCTGTTCGCAATTCACTACGATGCGTATACAAATATTATTCAAGACGGAAACCCAGAGGCTCAATAATACGAGTATGCTACTTTCGTCGTCTTCGTTTATACGGAAATATGTTGAATAAAATGATAAATTCAAAAATTTGGCGGAAAATTTAGATATTGAAATTCTGTACAAAACTGGGACCCGACGACGTTTATTTATAAACACAAGGACAATGGCCAATCTTTGATGGATATATTGAGTTAAGAATAATGTCATCTTAAAAATAAGACGTTTTACTTAGATATCTTACCTATTTATACATAATTATATCATCACGCCTTTTGTCCCCGAAGGGATAGGCAAAGATGCACATTACGGCACTTAAAGCCACTGTACAATGTAACACTCACTTTTCACTATTTATGTTATGACTCCCATGTGATAGGAGATGAGGTGCATAAATATATGTAGGTATGATTAAGTATGTAACACTTATTTAGTTTAGTTTCATCGTAAGGATTTATGAACAGGGTTTTATTGGAAGTCGTCTCTATACACACTAGAGACTTTCTTGTGTCTAATGGGTGTGTTGAATGAAACACAGAGACTCGAAACAACTATTTCTAGATTCCATATTTATAATAGTTGTTCTAAATGCGTTTGAACCCCACGATGCGTCCGCTATAGGCTCAAACTACTCAGAATTTCTTCTAATTTTATCAAAATTGTATACGCAAATATTTTTCTATTTCAGATGGTGGTTGTTCCACGGCGTTCATTCGCGTATGGGCAGCACTTGGTTTAGCAACTAAACTACGCACAGTTGAAACTGCATCTATTCAAAAGGCTCTAGCTGATGCTGCAAGGACCAAGAAGGACCTCAAAACCTGTATAGATGCAGCTGTCAATAACCAACAGCTGCCTGAGGAACATTATCTTAAGAGAGCTTAATGATACTTTATAATTAGTCTATTTAGGTTTATTGTATGGCATTATAATAAATTTGTATTTAGTACAGTGGCCATTTTATTTTTTTTCTTTAACAAACTTTTATATGCTGTACTACTATTATATTATTGATGTTACTAAGTGTCCCTAAAGGCTTAGGTTCTAACAATAGTAATGACTATAATACTAGATTTAATGTAATGTAGGTACCAGGGCAAGGTCCCTATATTACATGACTGCACGGTTGAAGCAGTGGTTGGGTGATTGGCTGCTATGCAACGTGTTGCTGGTTCGATTCCCGCGCCTGCCAAAAAGTGATAATATGCCATTTTCTGAATAGAATGACCATTATTAGCCCGGAGTTAAGACGGTCAGCAATGTTTCACCACCGTGTCTCGGAAAGCACATAAAGCCGTTGGTCTTGTGCCTGATCTCTCTCAGAGACTCGGGTTCAGAGGGTGAGGGAACAGAAAATGCACTTGTGTTTGCGCACACACTTCTGCATTATAATATCTTTTGCGTAGTGGGCTAGTCTAGTAAGACTGGCCACCATGATCGAAATCGATCGGGTTTTCTTACATTACATTTATACAAAAGTCATATACCTAACATTATTTTTAAAAGTTTGCAAAAGTCATATAAAGTCATAGATTTGTGCCTAAATACGTGCAATACATTTAGATCAACTGAGTTTATAACACAAAGTCAAATAATATCTACTACACAGCTCACTTTCAATGCAAAACAATATTGACTATTCGACGATAACACAAAGATAAGAAAGATTTCAACTCCTTGCGATTTTTCCAGCAATATTCTCCAATACCTGAAAAACAAAATTATTCTTACGATTCTCAGAAATCTCGGAATAATAAGTAAAAATAATTTTAAATTACGATAGATACGATGTCTTCAATCAGAAACTGATTTTATATATTCAATTTCTATTCGAGTGATTTTATTGTGATTACTTAGGTAACAGACATTTTTCATTAGGTCCTCAATAAATATAAAATACTAAGGTGCACTTTCTAGAAAATAATTTTATCTCGAAATATAATGAATTTCACTGGAGAAAATAGAAATTAAAGCAAGTGTATAACCTTTTTAGGCGCCTTGTTTGTAACCTTGGCCTGGCTCTGTTCGATTGTTTATGATCAAAAGTGCAAGTCTACAGCCGGTTCCAAAACATGTCTTGTGGATTGCCTTGTGATGCTTCACCTCCGTCAATTTTGAGAAATGGACCTATGACGTCATATGGCAGATGGTCATCGCGAGTCGTCGTGCCCTTACTACAAGGGCCCTGACATTATCATCAAGATCGGGTAAATTAATGCCAGCCAAAAGGGCCAAATGATTAATTCAGAGAACTTGAAACAGCGAATATTATTCTCAATTTACTTTGAAAGTTGTAACGTATTGAGAAGTTTGTTTTCTTTTAAAGAGTCCGCTGCCGCTGATTTGTTATTTTTATAAGAAAGTTCAGTTGAGAAGTTTCTCTATGAGGAAGATTGTGAACATTGAGTTTTACCAATAGTTAGAGATGTGGTGAGCCCGACGATAAGTAAGATGAGTGCGGATCGTACGTCAGTAGCTCTTGCGGAGGCAAAGCCGGGCGGCGGCGCACACTGCGGCATGTCCGGAACGAGGGCTGCCTCAAGGCGGGCCAGTGCACCACCACTACGAAGTTGGAGAAGACTGAAACATAACACAAGTCACCATATAGTTACATTAGCAAAAGTTTTTGTCATTTTCCAATAGATATCTTATGAACATTACATTATATGTAGTAAAGACGTTCCAACGTTCTTACTAAATGAAGTTCGTATGATACAATGAATTAGTATCTACATTAAAGAAAAAAATAAGTAAGTAGTACAATTGATTAGACGCAATAAGTGGTTAATGAGATAACTTTTGAAATTTTATCAGAACTGCTTACCTAGTTTTAGCCTAAGTTTTTTTATTTTAATTACGTAATAAAATTGTCAAATTGGAAGTTAAGTACAGGTACTTATTCAAATAAATATGTATGTATTTCAGCTTTTGAGTAATAGGTAATATTATGAATCTCATAGTGATAACTTCTATTACTGACAGATTAATAATTAGAGGTATAATTATTAGTTTCAATCACATGCCTAGATTGCGAATCTACTAAAACTTTCGTTTAGCCTGATCTGAGATCAGAGAATACAATATATTCTTCATGTAAGTAGTTTAAAAGTCATTGACCTTAAAATAATAAAAGTCTATTTTTGAATGAATTCTCCGACATAAAATATTTCTTTCCAATGAATCAGACCGGTTAGTAATAAAAATCTCTTGATCTGCATAATATTGCTTTCGTAGTATTAAATTTTGTGGATAATATGTTTTACGACGTTATTCGAGTCACGTAAGCATTATCTATGGCTTTTTTTTAAGGGGGGAAAATCATCGAATGACTGACGGGAGGGAGTGTCCGACTCTTACTGACCAAAAACCACCCCGTTCCTTCTCCTGCACGTCGAGCCGGAGCCCCGGTTACCTGTTAGACTTCTCCGCGACAAAAACATAGTTATAACTGCATGTATACACATTTCAAACAGATAGCTATTATGTACTAACGACTGCCTCGTTGGCCGATTGGTCGCAATTGCGACTGTCGGGCAAGGGGTCTCGGGTTCGATTCCCGGGTCAGGCAAAGTATTACTGGGTTTTAGTAGCACGGAGTCTTAAATTGTGTCCGGTATATGGCAATAGGTGAGCCTATTCAATGTTATAGGGGGTGGGCCCCCTATAACATTGGACTCATAACATAAATAGTGAAATGTGGGTGTTACATTGTACAGTGGCATTAAGTGCCGTAATGCACACCTTTGCCTACCCCTTCGGGGATAAAAGACGTGATGCTATGTTTAGCTATTACCTATGTATTAGTAGCTAAGTACCTACTTCCGCACGGTTTCACTAGCTCTGCCCGGCTCCTATTGATCGTATCGTGATGTTTTAGCCTAGTTCTAGATTATAGCCTTCCTCGATAAGTTACAGATACAGATCGATAGGTTTCAGAGATTAGCGGGTTCAAACATTAGGTGATGCGTCTGCTCGTTTACCTCCTATTCCATAAAAAGCACACGAACAAACAGATAAACAAATTTAGCTTTATATAATAATGTAAGATGTATATTCATAACTCGTCGAGTACCGTCATTATAGACACATTTATAGAACAATAGGTTGCGGTCACCGGTGACCGCTTGGTGTTTGACAGTTTAAAAAGATAAAATAGCTTGTCTTTTCTAAATACATAAACGTATCGCTCGCTGATTCGATTTTTCGAAACTATTTTTGTGTGATCAACAAATTATTGTTCCGGCCAAGATATGTATGTAGAACTTATGATTCTATTAAAATATATCGAAATTTCAAGTTGAAAATGGAAATTGAACTAAAGAGTCGTCAAATCTTAATAATATTAATATTAAAGTTACTTACGATAGTAGGGTAGGTCTGGCATACGGCGACTGACGTGGTAGAGGAAAGGCGAGATGCGCACGAGTGGAATGTACGGGTAACTCCCTAACTGCACACCGACCACGAGCTTGACTAAGTGATCTGGGCAGCAAATAGTACAATACTTTAAAAAAAAAATTATTTTAAATATAATATTATTTCTTTTTAGGTGTAAATATTTTAGTTCATAGTTATTTATATTTTAAGTTGTATATATTTTCTTTTAGTAATAGTAATTATAAGTTTTCATGTTATCAAAATTAAATTTCATACTTTAGTGAATTTCCAATACTCATAAAACATAATATTTATACCTACACTATATCAATCCACTAAGTAAATGTAACTAACGATGAAAATTAAGAATTTAAAACCTAAAATCTTCTTTGGAATGTAGTTTCCTATATTCGTTCTGTAAATCAAATAATTCGTATGTCACTTCCGTAAGCAAAATTATTTATTAGAAGTATGATAAGGATACGTGTATAATTATGGTTATTGGTGAAAAGCATTGATTTCAATGCGATTAAAATGGAAACAGACCGTAACATAACTGTTAAGAGTGTTAAGTATGTTATACGGGAACAAAATACAAGTAAAACGAGTGAAGCTAATTGACATAGGTACTGTTTTATTCCGTTTCACATTTTTTACAAATTTCGGGTACAGCCACGTACCATAGATAAAACTATCATCATAGACTATTGTGATCATAGACTATGCCACAGTTATAATAATAATAATAACAAAGCAGTTATACTCAACACATGCAGAATAGTCCGAAAATTCTTATCAATCGATTAGATTAGATCATCACAAGTATCACCCCCAAAGTTGCTTTGACCAAAAGTCCGCAACTCTGGTGTAGTTCCCCAGAAATGGGTGAGGTTTTAACCTAAAATACAAGTATAATAATAATAATAATAGCCTTTATTCAGATAAAGATAAGAACAAAAGAACAATTTTACAAACTGGACTTAATTTAACGTCTCAGCTTAATTGATGGCGTTGACATCTTCATCTGTTTGCCCAGCTTTGGCAAAGGCCTCCTCCATTTCTTTCCATTCTGCTCGATTTAGAGCTTTTCTTGTCCATGTTTTTCCCGCTGTCGCCTTTATTTCGTCTTCGCACCTTCTAATCTGTCGGCCACGTTTTCTTTTCTTGTCTCTAGGATACCAATACACTATGTTTCTGTTCCACTTTGCGATGCCTCTAATCATATGCCCCGTCCATTGCCATTTAAGTTTCCGTACTCTAGTTGTGACATTTTGTATTTTAGTGCGGTTTCTGATGGTTTTGTTACGTACACAGCCACAGTTACACAACATTAACATAAATAAACCTTCAATGTATATTCGGAATTATCTAACAAGGACACGGGATACAGATCAATCAATAATTTCCCCATTTGTATTTAAAGCTTTCATTCCCTGTGTCAGATTTAACGAAAAAATAAATTGGTATCTACCTAAATAAAGAAATTCGTTCGAAGGTTGGTTTATTTTTGAATTGAAGAATTGTCGTCATAACACCGTACAATATACCTACATTTCCTTTTTACGATCGTAAACAAAAGAAATAAGTCATAGATCTCTATTGCTTTATAATGTTCGAATCATACAATAAAGAAAATTTATTGACAAAATGGTTTTGAGATTTTCAAAGGTTTCAAAAGAAAGAAAAGTTCAAAAGAAATAGTATTTTAAATGAATGGTTGGTTAATAAATGAATGGCATTCAGGTGATACTAATAATAATATAATTGTAGAGACTGTAAAGACTAGATAAAATAATTTTAATAAAACATGGTCGAGGTGTCTTATTATCCTATTACGTCAGGAGGAGGGCTAGGTATCAAATGGGATTTAAAGTACCTTAAAGTTGCTCGTGCGACTCTTTGTCCCGCAAAGAAAGCATAGTCTTGACTCGCAGCTCTGGCCAGTCCTTCTTCCGCAGACGATACTAAATTATCCGCATCGGAATAACCTCGAATGTAAAAAGCATTCAACTGGACATCCTTTGTCGACTGCAATGTATAATTAATGTAATAGTCTTAAGTTACCTACTTAAATATGTACGTACAATAAAGCATATATAAATAAAAAAAATAGTTAAGTAGCCACAACTATTATTTTCGTTACGTATCCGGCCATACAAAATAATTAGTAAACAATTTATTAAGCATTAAATAATGAAATACCTACTTTCATATTGTATCATCAAAGTATTTATTAACTATATGTTCTATGAAATTAATAATGAATTTACTAGTATCCGCTTATTAACAAACAGTGCGGACTACCGCACCTTTTGTTGTGAGTGGAATGCAGATATATAATTACCAGAATTCGTGTTTTTTAATAGGACAAGCCCGCCACAGTCTCTCAAAACCTGCAACTCTTGTAAGCCAGGATCTACAGTAGATACAACCATGAAGACACGGGAACACTGAAGTCGCCCGACTTCCGGTTCCGGCTTCCCAGGGACATGAATAACTTGGTTCCCGTAACGAAATAAGTCAGAAGATATTATAAGAGGAGAAGTAAAAAAACGATAGTTTCCACTTTCCAATACACCGGGATACGTAAGTGTAAAATTACACAATGCAAATTATTGCTTAGGTATACGCAAGATGTACTTGTCCAGTAGTCCACGCAATGCTTTGGGAGTGACTGACCCTGGCATTCAGCTGACCTTCTACCGTGCAAGCAATGTTTACAAATTTCTCTCTGTTCATTTAATTTATTAACAATGTTGTCGAGATGTATCAATACCTATTTACTTTATTTGTAATGTCTTTAGAGGTCAAAGTTTAAAATTTCAATTCGATGTTAGAGTGGGAGTACTTTGAATGTCTGAGTACGATTGTCTGAAGGTAGGCAGAGACAATGTTTTTTCTGAGGGGGAAAATTATCCAATGACTTCTCCCGCTCGGATGAGGCGAGAGGGAGTATCAGACTCTTACGGACTAAAAACCACCCCGTTCCTACTCCTGCACTTCGAGCTGAAGTTCCGGCAACCCGTTAAGTCTTCCGCGGCTCCGTATCGGCAGGTAGAGACTATGGAATGTCAATTGCTGCGATTGTTACAGACGTTTTACGCTTCCTTAATAGTCATGTTAATAATGACTAAAACATAACAAGTCTTTTCATTGTTTTATTTTTTTTTTCAAACCACAAAACACTATCCACTTTAATGATTGTCAAAAATCTTATGAGCCTTTGAGGTCAAGAACAAACTTAATGCTAGTTTTTTGTTTAAGAAAACAATGAAAGGTAATGATATTTCTTTTTATTCTCTCGCAATGAAGTTTTTTGTGTCTTTAATCATATTTTATGCGTGTGGTATTGTGTTATGGATCATTAGGTATACTTTAACTGACTAAAGTTCTTTTTTGTTTATAAGTAAAAGAATTTAAGGTTAAGTATGAATATTCGCTATTTGCTATAAATAAAATATAATGGTAGTTTTTTACTGGGCCTAGAGGACGACAATGGTATTGCGTGCGATTAACGCATGCGTGCTGTTAATAACCAGTTATTTATGACGTAGCAGACCATTCTTTATTTAAGTTTGTTGCAGTTTTAAGTTAATTGAATAACACAAAAGTAACATGTATAAAAGAGAATAACTACTTCCTACTGACTACTGACGAGCTGCATGCATTAAAATATGAGTTGTATGTAATAGGTATGATTCGTCTCCATCGTCGTCCACATTATCGCCTACCACCAGATAAAATGGTGGCCAAACGTCAACCTGTCAAGTGTAAAAAAAAAACTTATATGGGTTTAGACTAGTATTCCATCGATGTGTAAAATATTCTATTCAACCGACTTCTCTTTTGTGTGGGTCGGTTTGTCATTTGGTCCCATTGTCATGAAGTCAGGATCTGATGATGGAATCCCAGGGAAACCGAGGGGAACTTTTAAAAATTATAGGGGCGACTAGTGCATTTGTTAATTTTTTCGTTAAGTATTTAAAACCACTACAATCTGATAATGGTCTGGAGCTGATCTGATGATGGAGTCGATAGGCAGTCGAGGGAACTCCTCAACGGTTACCAGTAGCTACATTGTGTTTGGGTTTGATTCATTTGTATTGATGAGGACTTTATACCTAGGTGGTACGTGATTGCCAATAAGGGTTTGATGATGAAGTACCACCATAGTTGAGGGAATGGAGTTTTTTGCTCGTTCTTCTCCATTCGAATCTACGTTTTGGAATGAGCACCTAGCTTCACCTAGCTTCACTGACGGACTGACTGACAGACTATTATTTATTTTGTATTTGTTGACGTTTCAAAAGTATCAAACTATGGTTTAATTGAAATAAATGCTTTGACTTTGACTTTGACTTTTGACTTTGAACTCCTCAACGGTTAACAGTAGATACATTATGTTTGGGTTTGATTAATTTGTATTGATGAGGACTGTATACCTAGGTGGTATGTTTTGGCTAATAAGGGTCTGATGATGAAGTAGTACCTTAGTTGAGGGAACTCTAACACAAAACTAAAAAGTAGATATATAATAAAAAACTGCGTTTAAAAAACCGACTTCAAAAACAAAAACAAATGAAAAGTAAAAGCTAAAAAGCAAAAATAACTATTATTGGTCATACGTACTTACATATAGCTTACACACCCACTGATAGGTTTTTGAAGTCGGTTTTTTTATGTTCAAACGTACAAGAAAATTCGATTTCACAGAATTTCAAGTTTTGCGTAAGGCTACGTGCAATTTTCGTACATCTATATGAAACATTTTGTTTATCTTTTAATAGAATATGTTGAAAAATATGCAATGGGTTAAACTTACCATAAGATACATTTGATCAGCTCCATTCCTTATGTACCCGATCTTGAAGTTCGGTGAATGAAGGACAGCGGCTATGGTGTCTACACTAGCCACTCTCACAGACAGAACTGAGGTTATAAATGCCGCATATGCATTGTAGGTAACAACAGCAAAGAACAGGCATACGATCAACAACATACTTCCTGAGGGATTCGAAGGCGTCCACGTACCACCTTGAAGGAAAATAAACCTTAAAAATATCTTATTAAGGTAGATTAGGTGGACGCGACGTGTGACATCGGGTGGTATTTAGTCAGTTAAAGTTTAACACCCATCGTTTTGTCTTCCATAATGAGGATATTTCAAATTATAATTAAAAATAAATAAAACAAATGGCAATCAAATGAATGTGGGACACAAAACATTATAATAAAAAAAGATCAAAGTTACTTTTAATAAATTCTGTAAAGCTAAAAGTGCTACATATAATTAAACAAAGGTTATACGGTAATATACTCAGTTTACATTCGTATCGTAGTCTTATATTGGGAGGGAGGAAACGCCCGGGTGTCATCACTGCGAGGACCGCCCGGAGGGCATGGTGGAGCATACGGTGGCAATGTGTCGTGCGTGGGCTGGTGTGGCGCGTGAGGGGATGAACCTCCTCACGCCCCAGCCGTCGCGAGAGAAACTCCGGGCGTCGGGGACCGCGAGACAATCTCCAGCTACCGTAAGCACGGGCCTGCGGACGGCAAGTCACCCGTACTCGCCGTCCGCATGCCAGACCAGACCAGAACCAGACCCGAGCGTACGGCGCGTCGCGTTCCACATGCGCCTCAATGAGCCATCAGACCACCACAGCATCAGACCACCACATCAGGGCAGCAGACCTCTCTGGTGTTGCGGGTGTCCATGGGCGGCGCTGATCGCTTACCATCGGGTGATCCGTCTGCTCGTTTGCCTCCTATTTCATATAAAAAAAAACAACAGATGGGACCCAATAGGGCTGATGTCGATACGGAGCCGCGGAAGACTAAACGGGTTGAAGGGGCGCCGGCACGAAGTGCAGAAGTAGGAACGGGGTGGTTTTTAGTCAGTAAGAGTCTGTCACTCCCTCTCGCCTCACCCGGGTGGGAGAAGACAAGATGATTTACACTCCTCAAAAAAAAAACGTGGTCTTATGAGAGGAGAATTAATTCGACGAAGATTGTATTTAGTTATTATTTCTGCGAAATTCACTGGACCATAGATCAAGCAAAGTGAATTGGGTGATTTCCGACTATATAGTCAAATCAATACTTGGAACTGTCATAAAAGCTTACTATGAATTTTGTATTGTGTGTTATGATGTCACGGTTTAAGCGTCATACAGCATACTAATTTCTGAAAAATACTATAATAAAAGTTATGTAGTATAAGTGATTATGTTCTAGTATTTTATTGTATTGAACAGTCGGAATAATCTAGTTTTCATTAAGGATAATACCCAATTATTAGAGTCTACGTAAAGTCAAAAAGTGTATTTAATTCAAGTATATTTACTTTTTATTTTTATTATATTATATAAAGTTTTTATTAAAACTTTAGCGTAATGTGAAATTAATGAGTAAACTTTGTCTAAACGTTTGAATAAACTTTTTAAAGTTTTAAACCTTTTAAATATTAGTGATTGTAATTCAGTAGACTTATTTAATAACAGAAATATGTAGAAATGAAACGACCGTAGATGGTAACGAACTGTCAAAATTTTTATTTTATGCATAGATTAAACATAATATAGTACCCAAAGCCTCTACTAGATGGCGCCACATTTATATTTATTTTGTTAGAATACAACACTCCCACTTAACAAAATAAAACTAAATACTTATCTAGTGTTTTATTTGACTAAACCTAACATCTCTAAAAATTTATAATGTTTTACCGCAGTTAACCCTTTGGTAAATAAATCAGCAGGCATTTCTGAAGTTGGTAAATAACTCAATTTAATAATATTATTATTTAAATGTTCTCTAAAAAAATGAAATCTGATATCAATGTGTTTTGATCTTTTATGCAAACAATTATCATTTGCCAACTTCTGTGCAGACTGATTATCATTGAATACAGTTACTATATACAATTTGTTAGTTATCTCATATTGCAAGTTCCGTAAGTATATGGCCTCTTTACAACAATCTGATATTCCCATGTACTCAGCCTCGGTGCTAGACAGAGCTATAGTGATTTGTTTCCTAGTTGCCCATGAAACAGCACCACCAGAAAGAGAAAAGAAAAATCCTGTATATGAACGCCTATCCAATACATTACTTGCCCAGTCAGCATCAACATATGCTTGCAATT